ATGAATTCCTTGTTTTGCTTTGCTTGTGTGTGCGCGGCTTTTGCTTTACCTATTAAACTGCCTTTATCTCAACCCATGAGTTTTCTCACTTTTACCCTTCTGATTCTCTCCCCCATCCCACCAGCGGGGAATGAGCAAACAGCTGTGTGATGCTTAGTTGCCAGCTGGGGTTAAACCACAACAAATTACTAAACTCTCTGTTTGTAGCACAGTTCAAAATCATGGTGCCAGAATGCTGAAATAGGCTGGGGTGGTGGACTGGAAGTCAGTTTTTCTTACTTGCTGTCTCTGCTTCTCTCTTGCAGTGGGAATTAGTCTGCTATTTTACTTCCGAAAGAGAAAACTGGGATTGACTCACGCTGATGGAACAAACTAATCAAAAATCCTCCGCTAATGCTGGGACACAGCGTTTGTTAAAAATGTTCTTTAAAATAAGAACACAGAAAATCGTAGAAAACTTACAAGTACTCTGCCAGTTAGTGTCTGGGCAGATATCATGACTCCTGCCCAGTCCTTCACGGAGGTCATCCATCCCACTTCTGCTGCCACATTCTCCTCTTTTTCATCTGTTGGTTTGCAGGCCCCATCTGCCTGTGTATCTCCACCACCATTGATCTTCTGGGCCTCCTGCAAAGTAAGTATTTGGGTTAGCTAACGTTTAGCAATTTGACGGTGAAAGTCAGCATTTCTTAGCCACAACTGTACGCTATGAAAGAAGCAAATCAGTCTTCCCAGATTCCTGCTAGACGAAATTAAGTACCTACTTGGCCATATCTCTTCAGAAATAACAGAAATAGAAATGTTCTATGATGTACCAAACTAAAAACTAGATAATAACACTCTCCTTGACATTACATCTTGAAAACATGTATTTGGCATCAAATAAGCTATATGTTCCTTCCCTATAAGCAGCATAATTGCCAAGAGCTATGTATGCAATTATAGAGCTACATATAAATGAGTTTGTCAGACATACTGAAGGACTTCTTGATGTATTAGTTCAAAACAATGTGTACTAGGTGTGAACATAATTTATGTATGCTTTTAGTTTACTATCACTAGAATTAATTATCTGAGTAAACCTTCACTGAGAAGCATGATATGACAAGGCAATAATTATCAAGGGTGAAGGGAATAAAATACACCATAGAGAATCTGCACAGAGCTGACATGCTATCAGTGAACCAGTGTTTCAATGGAAGTGTTTAATATATCACAGAAATTCTTCTGTCAGTAAGTGGCTCTCATAGAATGGAGAGCTAGATACTAAAGAGGAGACTCAGCTGCACTAAGCTGACTGATGAGTCACATGCACTGGAATTATGCACTGGAATTTATATCAGTCTCTCGCGGACGCTGCAGCAAGGATGTCGTGCTCTGTAACTGCCTGCTATGTGCGACAGTCACGGATACTGCACAAAAGACAAGAGAAATTATAGGAACAGCCAGCCTGGATCGTCCAGCATTAAAAACCCATCATATGCAAAGTACCAGACTATGCCATGAGCATGCCTTTGGTGACAGCATAATACTAATGACTTCCTGACTACTTGACAAGTTATGCTAAACAAGCATAGGGAGGCAGCAAAATTCAGTGTTGAGGCAAGTACTGAGCACTTGAACTGCACCCATATATCTACATTAGTGCTTCAAGTACTCTGCACAGACCAACAGCTTGAAAGATCTTGTTTATAGATGACTTGCCTATAGGCCACTAAGCAGGAAGTCAATTGCCATTAATCCCCTTTGGGATATCCGTTATACAAGTAAAGATGTTTGACGCGGGTTCAGTGATTATTACTACAGTAAAAATACTACACTATCACGGTCAAAACGCATAGCTATGAGATGGCCTTGAGGACACAGCTGGACATACAGGTAAGGGCACTTCCTGAGAGCAGTACTGAACTAATAAAGCAGTTGCACTGAATCTGTCAGCAAAGGACAGGAGAGCAACACTAAAAATGTAATATGGAGAGCAACAATTGTTTTTTAGAAAATCTCAGTATTGCAGCTTAATTAGCTAATCAGATTCTTCTCTGTTAGTCTCCCTCCTGAAATGCGGCGGGCTCTGTCTTCTTACTAGCAATTACAGCACAGCGCATGATGTGGCTATATTGATAATAACAAATTATTCAGAGTTACAACAGTAATTCAGTTCTTCCCAAGCAAATAACCAGGCAGAAGATAAAAGCTACTTCGTATTTGCAAAACTGGACCTCCAAATTTGGACATAGCGAATCAGATGTTTTGCACTCAGCATTGAAAGTTGTATACTGCATTGCACACACACAGAGTACAACCTACAGAAATGACCTCATTGCTTAGGACAGTGACGTATGGTATGGCACAAGGCATTTCCAGAAAAGTAATGCTTGACTAGGGGTAATTTGTGACCCATATCATCCCTAAGGCGTATAGATCAGTCCCAAAGAAGCACCTTGACCACCACTAGTGTTTAGATTATAAACCAGGAAAAAGAAACCTAGCTTCATTTTTTTTTTTTTTTTTTTTGAGTGGATGGTATGGCTGTATATACCGGACATTGTAATAAAACAAAACATTGAGGTTTCAGCAACCTAGACACATCTCAAAGGCCCTCAGGGCACTCACAGGCCTCGCTGGCCCTGGCCGCTCTCCCCCAGGGTCTTCCCCGCCTCTGCCTGTGGCCCAGAACACCATTTCAGCCCAGCCCAGGGCCACCAGCACCCCACAGCCCTGTCCTACCCAGCCGTGGACCACACTGAAGACTGACCTGGACCCCACCAGCCCAGCCAACCTATGGCTGATTCCCCCTCACTGGGCCTGATCCTTACCCTCACCCACAGGCTGACGTCCCAGGCTGGCCCCGGCCTGGCCCCAAGGAGATTCCTGATGCCCAAGGCTGGGACTGCCCTGGCTTGCCCCGCTCCCTGGCTGGGGCAGTGGGACAAGGCCCTGGCTGCCAGGCCCAGCCCTGCAGTGCCCTTACAGCTTGTTAAAATCCACAAGTACCATTTATTTCTTTTTTCCCACCAGTATGTCTGCCTTTTGTAACTGTTAGAGCTTGTCTTTCAGATTGTACACTCTACGTGCTAGATTTCACTGCATGGTCCTCCTCTGCATAGCAGAGTGGGCTTTTATACTCTGTACAAGTTTATACTGAATATGCGTATTAACGTGGTTTTCATAGTAAAGAAGCTGCAATTATCTCGTCCTCTCAAATAAGAAACTGAGATGGTGAATAAGTGCTTAAATCACCAGAGAAGTCATTGGCAGAGCAAAGATGAAACCACAGACTTTCTTGATTTTTCCATCCAGCACCTCAAATTAAAAATCTCAGGGATGCACACCTTGCTAAAAACATTCATAATTATGAATTTTGGTATAGAAAGTCACAGAACTTTAACTACAGATCATTAAACAAAAAGAGCTGAATGGAAAAGTCCATTTTATGGTAGTAAACTTGAAAATATTAAGGTTGGAAAATTCTGTTATTTTTTTCACATACTCCTTCCTTATCCCCAACCTTTTTGTCAATATATCAACTGAATTTCAAAGACGTGATTATTCACAAGATTATAAAAATAAAATTTCCTAACACTCAATAAAACAGTAGATAATTTACTTCATTGAAGGAGAAAGGTAGCTTTTATATTTTCAAAAGGTTCTAATACCCTACAGTTCTTTTTGCTGTATTGACTTTTGGTTGCCAATAGAATAGAGCAGTAAAATGTGACAGACCTATGCAATATTTGATTCTCTAAAGATATTAAAGTCTGTAATACATTTGAACAGCTGTATTTCTGCATTTATACCATTTATTTCACCTCTATTAAAATCTCCCACCCATATTATTTCTTAATTAAAATATAAGTAAACCAATCATCCCCTGCCAATTATCATCTGGAGCAGAGTCTCATGATCAGGTACATACCAAGCCTAACTCTTGCCATTATTGTAGCTATAATTAATATGCAGATTAATTGCTGTTATGTAATATTTGGATTCAGTTGGGCTATTTTATATTTTTCATCTACATGGCTAATTGGCAGTTAAGTATTAAGGAAAGTTTATTCCCAAGTCATTATGCAATTGTGCAAAGATTACTAAAGGAGATTTAAAGGCTGCTTTCATTTACACTGTGTACAAATCAGTCCTGTTATTAACTGTATAGTCCTGTTCCATTGCTATTTCTTCACCTCAAAGCATTGAGTAACCAACACTACAAACTGAAAAAGGTGCTTAAAAAAGAAAAACCTGACAGTGATGGTAATTGTTTAATTATTTACAGGCTCAGTAGCTACAAGTAAGGTAATACTATCTTTATCTACTCTGCTTACCTGCTGTTTCACAAAGTGTTCGTTATTTTAATTACTTGATGACAGGAACATTCAGGTAGATTAAGTGAGAGGCAGCATATTTTGTGAAATATGTGTTTCCTGAACTTAGTGACAAAATCGAAGAGAATGCATGATGAGAAGGGCTGTACAGGAATCAGGACTCACTGTTCTAGTAATGGTTTGACACAAACCTAGACCAGAAACTTCAATGCTTTGTCTTATATTTTCAACAATAAATATTGATTTAGATTACACAAGTGCTAGGAAGCTTAAACACAGTTACCTTAAGAAAGCAGACTTCAAAAAGGGAAAAGACACTCAAAAACAATTTTCATTTTTGAAAACGTAGTCAGGCCTGCTTCACTTTACCTCTCTCTACAATATCTGTACAAACATAGAACTAATGCAGACGCTCCATTCAACCCAGGGCAGTATGAAATAAAATCAGAACATGATTATGAAAACTTAAAACATCATCAGAGAATAATTTGCCTTTTTAGAAGCCCTAAAAAAACCCAGGACACTATGAAGACAACCTAGTAAGCACTCTCTGAAGTGTGGTACTGAAAAAAATCTTGGTCTCTTACGAAGATATATTAGAAAACACAGGAAACAGGCAGGTAACGTGAGGGAAAAGAACTGGGTTAAAGTCTGGTGAAACAAAGAAAAGGACTTCTGATATTCCTGCTTATCTAACATTGAACTAGTATGAATAGCACACAAAAATCATGAAGTATCAGCTGTACTGGGAATACAGGGCATCAAGTCATGCCCACATCATACAAGAGAAGCAGTATGCCCAATTTAAGCAGATGTTTAAGAACAGTAATACCAATGGAGCAAGCCCAGTACCATCCTTGGAATTCCATCCTAGAGAACATGAGGTGAGGAAAGGCCTGCCAGAATGGCAGTTGCAACTGGTTTGAAGTATCCAGTAATAATACAGTAATAAAATATAGTTTGGGGATGTTAGGGAAGGGCTGCTTTAGATAATGATGCCAGCAACTTGCAATTTTGTCTCTATTAACTGCCCCTCAATTAACAGCATTGCATTCTTAGAGCCTGCATTTTAAGTAATGTTTTATATCAGATCAACAACACACTCATACTAGCCACTCTTGTACATTGGAAATCTATGTTGTTCCTTTCTTCTTCATTCATCTGTTTCCCCAAAGCCACCAACAGGTGCTATGTGAAGAGGAATAATTTTGCATATAAGACTATTTCTCCTTTCTGTTAGGCAGACCTCTAAAACACTGAGTTTAAAATTATTAGACTTCTGTCAGTAATTTAATTACATGCCCT